TATCAGGCATTGACTTTGATGTTTCTAAATTTGACTTTCAATTATACTCAATGACATTTTTGTTATTGTACGAGTTATTGAATTTTTGACGAAAAATGGCTTTCATGAATGGAGAAAAAAGTGATACAAATTTTTTACAAATACGATAGAAACAGTGTTAGGATATCGGAAATGTATTTAAACCGTGTTAGGAATCACACGTTGAAATGTAATACCTCGTTAGTCCTTAGCTCGCACAAGTTTCTCAATTTCAGTTGTCGTTCGTATGGGGGCGACAGCTGATTAACGGAAAAACAGATTTTTAAACAGATTTTTTTTTAAAACTTGATCCCGGAAGACGACAACCGCATCGAATTATGTTTAAGTTATTGGTTCAAAATCTCATCGAGTTTGGTTCATTTGCAAAGCCGAAGAAAAAATACGGAGACAGAACGGACCAGGAAAATTCGATAAATGAGGTATTTATGAGGTAAGTTAGACATTTGTCCTTTTCAATAAAAATCAATAATTTGCATATAATCTACAAGTCATATTTCCTCCGAACTGAATATATGTCATACAAGTGCTTGAAGACATCTTGAAAATGCGGTTTGAAATGTTTCAAAATACACATATCTCAAAAATTGCATCTAGGTGATCCCGAAAAGCGATTAGAATTTTGAAATTGGCTAATAAGAAGACCTGATTTTCCTGTTTTCCTGGAAAATGTAATTTGGAGAGATGAAAGCACTTTTACTTACGAATTGTAGGATATTCAACCGAAACAACGAACACATTTGGAGCATAAACAACCCCAGGCAGTTCCGAAAAGTTCGACCTCAAATGCGATTTGGTATTAACATGTGGGCAGAAATTTACACAAAATAAAATTTTAGGTCCTCATTTATTTGACGGAACTCTGAATGGAGAAACCTATCATCAGTTTTTAATATCGGTTTTCGAGGACTATTTGGATGATTCACCTTTGGCTTACTATAGCAACATCTGGTTTCAACATGATGGTGCTCAACCGCACACTATCAGACGAGTATCCAATAACCGGATTGAAAGGATTGATGATAAATGGATAAGGAACAATGGGCCGGTGAGGTGCCCAGCAAGGCTTCCAGACTCAAGTGTTATGGATACATTCTTATGGGACACACTGAAAAATGGAGTTCATGGTCAGAGGAAATATCAAAATATTGAGGACCTTCAACACACCATTGTTGGAGAGTGCGGAAGATTGAAGAGGAGGAAAGTTAATCGTGCAGTCAATTATATTCGAAGAAGGGCATAGTTGTGTTATCATGAACAAGGTCAGCATTTTGAGTATTTACTGTGATTTACTTTTGCCTTTACATTTTAGTTGATTACTATTATTTGTTCAAAGTTTTATTTTCATTGAAAACGACACAATGTCTAATTTACCTCGTAGGCACCTCATTTATCAAATTTTGATTGTTGATTCTGCCTCCGTATTTTTCATTAGCTTTTCAAATGGACCAAACTCGGTTAGATTTTGATCCAATACACTTGAACATAGTTCGATGTGGTTGTTGTCTTTCGGGATACAAGTTAAAATACATTTCCGATGTCCTAACACTGTTTCTATCATAATAAAATTGTATTATATCTCTTTTTTCTTCATTCTTGAAAGCCATTTTTCGTCAAAAATTCAATGACTTCACAATAACAAAATGTTATTGAGTGTAATAAATTGAAAATCAAATTTAGAAACATCAAAGTCAAAGATTATTATGATAAGAATTAATTTTTTTTAGTTTTATGACATTGTGGCGATAACTGAAACATGGCGCTCTAACGACCTGAGGGATGACACACTAACTATGTCAGACTATACTCCTTTCAAGTCTGACAGAACAAGATCTCGCGGTGGAGGTGTTTCACTTTATGTCAATAAGAATATTTCATGTTCTAGATATAATTTCCCTTTCACTTTTGATGAGAATATTAAATAACTCTGGATACAGATCAAAGTAAACAATCGTAAAGTAGCCATATGTTATATATACAGACCACCTACTGGAAACGTTAATCAATTCATAAGTGATGTTGATGAGTCCCTTTCGCAAATTATACTCACTGTAGACGAAATTATCTGTCTAGGCGATAATTGACCATTGAACATTGACCTACTCAAACCCGAAAATATCCTCAGCAAATGTTTTGATGCCTATGACTTTAAGCAAATAATCAACGAGCCCACTAGGGTATGTGATACATCGCTCTCATTGTTAGACCCCATTCTCCTATCTAACCCCAGTCTCATTAGCACCTTCGGATTACTTGATGCCAGTAATATATCAGACCACAACCTTGTATTTTGTAAAATGAAAATTGAAAAACTTCAGCGTGACCCCAAACTTATTACCTCCAGCGATTTTAAGAATTTCATCCTCAACAGATTCCTTGAGGACTTGAATAACTTACCACTCAATGATATTTACCATATTAATGATCTCGATGAAAACATTTATTTTTTCAATAACGTTCTGCTCGCTTTATTTGATAACCATGCCCCAATCAGAACAATACGAGTAAGCAAACCTAAATCACCATGGCTCACATATCCTATAAGAGTTTTAAAAAAATCTGTTTAAAATCTGTTTTTCCGTTAACCAGCTGTCGCACCCCTACGAACGACAACCCTCAGAAGTCGAAACTTGTGCGAGCTAAGGATTAACGAGGTCTTACCTTTTAACGTGTGATTCCTAACACATAACCTAACAGTTATGATGGAAGAACGTGATGATGCGTTGGCTTACTACAAAAGAACTACCTACTTATCTGATTGGGAGCGTTATAAAGAGCTCAGGAATTTTACTTTAGCCGCAATTCGCCGCGAGAAAAAGGCATTCCATGATCGAGTCCTCAGTAAAAATAATTTCAAACATCTTTGGAAAGAACTCAACCGTCACGTTTTGAATGAAGCACCAGTTACTATCCCTAGTCACCTAGGGACGGAATAAACGATTACTTCTGCTCTGTCTTTATTGATAAAGAGCCCGACGGTGACCTACTTCACTACTATGATAATAATCGCTTCAATAATATCGAAAGCAAGTTCAATTTTGAATTTCTCACCATTTCTGAAGTGAACGACATTCTCGAAAATGGATGATAACTTATGATAGATACATCATTGAAAAGGTAAAATCTGGTTCTTTCCAAAACAGAAAAAATTCAATGTAGCGCCTGTAAGAAAAAATAAAGTTGATGATGGTGGCCGGAAGACGAAACGTTGGATAGCAAATCTGAAAACACCATTATGTGGCAGCAAAAAAGTGGCAGTATAGAATTTGAAATCCTTCGAAAAATAAAGCCAGAAAAAAATAAAAACCTATTTCCGAAGTTTCAGCATATTGTTAATCAGGTGAATGCGCAAATTTGCTCCAATTTAACCAATTTCGTATTTCTCTTAGTTTCCGAAATCCTAATGGTGAGGATTGAATTTGAAACACCCTGTAAAGAAGAGAGACAAATCTCCAACATTTCTTCGATATTCCAAACTATCAAGGTTGCTTGTGATGTTCGCGTCTACAATCAGGCGGATGTCTCTTTTCTTGATGAAATTCAGCAACTTCAGGTATGTTTGGAGACAGAGCTCCATACATGAGAACAATACCCCAAAAAAGGTCTGATCTGAGCTTAAAAAAGCATCAAAAGTTGCTGGGGTGTGTATAGTTTTCTGGTTCGTCAAGTAAGATTGACCTTCTCTAATTTGATAATCAGTTGAAAATTATATTGAAAAGGTTATACTTTCAGGAGTGACTAACTTTTGGGAAAGACAGTTTATGGCTTTCTACTACTCCATCTTGATACAAAAATGTGGGGATATTTCAAAGAAAGAAAGAAAGAAAGCAATCAATTTTCTTCATCCATAGATGTGTAGATCATGCACAGAAGAAACTTTCAATCACAATCAGGAGGGTTTTTTTCCAGTTTGTGTCTGTTACTTCTTTTAAAATTGATTGCTTCGTTCCTTATTTTGGAAGATTATCACATTTGTTTGTATCAAGATGAAGTAGTAGAAAGCAAAATAACTTTCTTTTCGAGAAATTTGTCACTCCTAATAATATAATCCTTTCAATTCAAATAAGATTTCTTTTGGCTGAGATTTAATCAAATAAGTGAATAAATATCATTACGATGTCATGGATGACATAAGTAGATCACATTTATTCACTGACATGAAAATCGTAATTTATGAATGAATGTGTGTTTTTTCTTAGAATGTTATTCAGATTGGTACTGAGATACGCAAGTATCTCAAGGCGAAACATCGATGTCTACCAGTGTTCCATGTAAGTGAAATTTTTACTTTCCATTTAGTATATGGTGTAGAAATCCTGTGAGTGGTATCCGATTTAATTCCATAATGAATGTTTCGAATTAAATCGGGTACTCCTGTTGGAAATAAATTGCTTTTTTTTATTTTTTTTACCTTGGACCAAAACTGCAACATTATTGCCTTCGTTATTGACTATTCCTGAACGGTGATGTCTTTTATTAACTCAACCAGTTTCATTTTTGTCCGTTTCATTCTCATGAAGTGTGTAAATAATTCTCCATAAAACGAAAAATAATGAACCAGATAGTACGTCGGGTTACAGAGTCGAAGTAAAATACTCTGATAATAAAACCGAGTTGACCATCACTACTCCAGAATACTTGTTAGAATTCAACATCGTCAGTAGTAACTAGGTGATGAAATCTAGTGTCATATTGTGTTCTTCAACAAAACATTCTCCACCATTTTTCGCTAACATTGTTGAGTTAAAGGAACGTAGAATTCATTAGAAGCTGATTGACATCTCTCCATGGGTTTTTTTTCTGTGGCTTATATTCAAGTTTAATGCACATTCATCATTTTTACTATTCGAAACTTCAATCACAACCTCAACAAGTTTTGTGGAAAATAAATCAATTTTTCACTTTCGAAAAGGTACATTTTCGTCAACTATATCACTATATAATTCGGAAACTTTGTTTTTCAGGAAACCTTCAGATATCTCATAGATAATAATCCAAAACTGAATAGCGCAGATGTATGTGGAATTATATCACAACATAATGACTGTCCGTTGTCTGATAGCTACGATTGGGAAGTAAATATTCCACCTGGAAATACTATCAGGAAGCTCAAGGTATGTATTCACTCATTGAAATAGAAACCAAAGGAATAACCACTCAAGTCGCCTAGTGACGACTGAAGTATGGTAAACTTATCGTAAGATAAATCGAACTGTATTAGTTGTGATTCAGTATTTGTAGAGTTCACTTCTTTCGTATTCTGTTTTAGTGTGTTTCAATAATAGTGCAAACAAAAATGAAGCGTCTTTTTAGTGTGTCATTTCATAGGTAAATTACTAAAATATTCCTTTAATTAAATAGATTTGGGAAGCTGAATACACTTATTCAATGAATGAATCGAAGAGGTTTTTGTATGAAAGTGTATAATTATAAAATTTTTGCAATGACTTTCGTCATCATCAGTGCTCACCTGAAAGTAAGTGATCTAATTGAAACATATAAAAACATATAAACATATAAAAACACTACATGGACACCAAACAAAAGGTTCATGCCCACCATAACATCGTGCGGAAACTTACTGAAAGTAATCAGGGGAACCATCCTACAGTAATAAGAACTTCGGCACCTGCACATGCTACTCAGCTATCGAGTACGCCTGCCTCGTCTGTCAGAAATGCGCGCATGCTGAACATAATTTAGCCGGTATAGTTCCGCCTATAGAAAATCTCTGTTTAAATTTAAATATTCAAACAAGGATCATTATTGGAAAGTTCTTTGGAAATCTCCAGCTATTCAAACAAATCCAGTCTGAGGAAATTTTTATTATTACTCAACACACAGTAACCTCTCATGTTAGGTTACAATCGATAAACAAGCAGACTTTCAGGCATTTCGAATGGATTCTCAAGGAGAAATGGTAATACTTTTGGTTAAGTTTCAGACATAGTTATTCAACTTTGATGTCACGACTAGTACCTATTCGAATTACTTCTGCACCAGAGACTGTTCGATTTTCTTCTGCTTATACGTATTTATTTTCCTATGGTTTCTAATCGGATCATTTCCAAATCGACGGACACACTGGATTTATTATATTTCTCCATTATTCACTTCGAATTTCATACTGATATTAGGGGAACTTCACTTTGCAATTGATTACATTCTTTACTTAATTTCACGTAAGCTATCACTAACAGAGATGGTTTCTCTTCGATGGATCAAACTAAACTGATTCACATTTTACTTTTATTAATTTCGCGTAATTTCACTTATATTAACGGAGATAGTTTCAACTCGAGAGCTCACACTGGACTGGCTCAATGGAAGAATTTTCATCGTTTTATAGCGCGAATATGACGCAATTATTGAACACATGCAACTCGCAGTTGCCCAATTTCCCTTGTTTAAAGCGGGTTTCTGACCCCATTAATTAATTATTAATTATCGACAGCAAATAAGCGTCGATAATTAGGTTTTATGATTATTACACCAATGCCGACAATTCTTATCTTCATCGTCGCTCAGAGAGCATAGTGGCGTTCGCTTGATTAAGCTAATTGATCTTGGACGACGGCGCGGTTCATTTTACGTTAATTAATTAATTTGACTCTTCTCCGGGCCTATATACGTTAATAAAGCGCGGCTCTGATTTTTGACTCGTCACAGAGACACGAACATCACTTGCAACCTTAATACTTGGAAGAGGTGTGAGAATTAGGTTTTTTTATTAGGAATACCAAAACTTTACTGTCAAAAAAGTTAAGGCAATTTCAAATGAATAATGACAGCGTACGCAGCGCCCTCTAGATGTTACATNAAAAAACCCGGGTACTGAATTTCGTGCGAATAACTTATTTTTAGCCAACGTTTTTTCTGAAAAATGAACAGAAATATTCCATTTCAACATCCTGTATCTCCGAAAAGACGTATTTCTGGGCACAAATTCATACAAGTTTTTTTTTGTCAAAATTGTTTCAGAAATATGTCACGCGAATATTTTAACGTAAATATGTTACAACCTGTATAGCGGGATTTGCAGTAAGTCTCTTAAAACTTTTACAATGTTATCAGTGCATCAATAGCTTGTTTCCTGATTATTCTTCAATATGGGTTAAGGACAAGGGTAATTTGACTTATCTTTCCGGAAGTGTTGTTAAAATTTGCAATTGAGGTGAAAAATTATCAAATATCACCTGAACTCATGTGGAGGGGAAAGAACAAAATTTTTAAAGATTATCAAACTTTTGAAATGTTTGTAGATTTGTCTTTCTAATTTGCCGGTTTATCAGTCAGATAACTTTCCTAAGAAAAACCACATACTTATCAGAAAATTAATGAGAGCTATTTCTGAAAAATATATAGATATTAGAATTCATTTCATAGCTAAGCAAACTAATTTTTGAGAAAAAAAAGACAACTTCACAATGAATTAACTATTTCCAATATTTGT